AACCTGAAGAATTCAGGAATGTCACTTAGAAGTTAGAACTCAGGTTTGAGAATTAAGTTTCTCAGTATCCTGACTTTGTCCCTTAATTATATCATCTAACTTCTCTCAGCCTCAATTTTCTTACCTCTGCCAAAAAGAACACCTATGTCCCAGGTTGTGGTGAGTCTTAGGTCAGCCAATGCCCATAGAGTGTTCAGCCAGTGCACATATGTAGAGAGCACTCAATGGACCTAGATATTATTAACCTATCAATGACGGTGGTACACGCATTTAATCCCAGCACTTGGGAGGCAGAGGCAGGCAGATCTCTGGGTTCAAGGCCAGCCTGGTCTATATAAAGAAAGCCTGTTCCAAACAAGCAAACAAAAAATTCTCAAAGGCACCTGAAGAAATCTGTTGAGAAAAAGGGGATATTCTTTAAGGCTCAGGGTGCCAGTTTCCCATGATGGTTGATGCTGAGAAGTGGCTACAAGTTCAGCACCTCCCAGGACCGTGACGTCAATCACGGAGAAGGCCAAAAGACCACCGAGGAGAACTACTGTCAGCAACAGGGGCATGAGGAGAGGACAGCAGAGAGGCATGAAGCCTGCAGGAAACACCAGCTGAGGCACAAAGTGTGCTCAGAAAGCCCAGCCCTGGCTGTTGGAAGGGCTTGAGCCGGGAAACTTGGAGTCAGGAAAAAGAGCCCCAAAGGAGAGCCAAAGAAACCAGCTCTCCAGTTATTTCTGCCACCTTTGTTATTCTCTGTGATTACCAGAATCAGGCGTTGGTCCTTCACAGAACTGGATGGAAGGCAAGATCAAGCAGCCTTGATCCAAGCTTGGTGTTTATGTTTTGTTTTTATTTGTTTGTAATAGGTATTCGTGTAACCCAGGATGACTTCAACTTTCTTTGGAGCTAAGTACTACCATGAACTTCTGATCCTCATCATGACTATTTCCCAAGTGCTTGGACCAAGCTTGGGTACCTGAGTGTGATTCCTTGAACTCACGTAAAGATCAGAGAGAACTGACTCTATGGAGTTGTCCCCTGACCTTCATACATGTGCATTCACCCCACACAAATAATAATGCACTAAAAACTAATCTCTCTAGTGAAGTATAACACAGAGAAAAATGTGCAAGTCATATTCAGTGAATTTTCTCACCTCGAATAGACCTGGGAATCCAGGCGGTAGATTGTAGAACAACTTTATCGGATCACTAGATCTTCCCTGTGACTCTTTCCAGTCACTGTTGATCCCAACGAGTATCTCTTTCCTGATTTCTTTCACTATAGGTTAGTTTTATTTTTAATATCACGTTATTACCATGAGGGAGCAAGGCTCATACCATTGTGCTGTCAGAGGACCAACTTGGGGAGTCAGTTCTGTGTGTCTTGGGGACCAGACTCAGGCCATCAGGCCTGTCTCAGCCATCTCACTGGCCCAGTTTTTTACTTTGTATGAAACTGGACCCACACACAATGTCCTCACTTAGGTCTGGCTCCTTCTGTCACAAATGTATCCGCATCACCGTTTGGTACATTATTGTCAAAATTTGCCAGTTTGCTTATTCATTTCATCATCAAATATTAGAAGGGTTGTTTTGTGGGATTCTGTTTGGGTATTGTGCTGGAGATCAAATCTTGTGCATGCCAGGAAAGCACTTTATCCCTGAGCTACAGACACCCCCCAGATCTGTTTTCTTGTTTATTTGCTTGTTTGTTTTTTTGTTTGTTTTCTTCTGTTTTGAGACAGTGTTATGTAGACCAGGCTACTCTCCCTTCTCCCCCAGACAGGGTTTCTCTGTGTAGCCCTGGCTGTCCTGGAACTTGCTCTCTAGACCAGGCTGGCCTTGAATTCACAGAGACCCATCTGCCTCTGCCTCCTGAGTGCTGGGATTAAAGACGTGCGCCGCCGCCGCCGCCGCCGCCGCCGCCGCCGCCGCCGCCACCACCACCACCACCACCACCACCACCAAGCAGCCTGGGCTAATCTCAAACTAGCAACTCTCCTGCCTCTATCTCTTTAGTACTAAGATTGTGGCAGTATCCCCACATCCTACTGGTTTCTAGTTTTCAATGATTTAAGTAATGCTTTAAAAAGATCATTGTTTTAAGTCTTGATAAACACTGGTACTTCTTTCTGTTGCATAAACACCTAAGAGTAAAATTCTTGGGTGATAGAGTAATCATACAGCTTTGGGAGTTACTGGTTGTATTAGCTACTTGTCTCACTGCTGTGCTAAAATCTCTGACACAGCAACTTAAGGAAAGGTTTATTTTGGTTCAGAGTTTACACAGCATTTCATGGCAGTGAAATCAGGGCAGCAAGAACTCGAAGCAGCTCGAGACATTGCATCCTCAGTCAAGAAGCAGAGAGATAAGTGATGGGGCCTGGTTTCTTTCCTTTTACTGTTCCATGTGAACTAGCCTGGAGAACGGTGCTGCTCAGTTAGGGTGTGTCTTCCTACCTCAGTTAACCTAGTCTAGAAGTCCCTCATAGACACACCTAGGTGTCTCCTTCGGTGATTTTTGAATTTGCCAAGTTGACAGTCAATATAAACCATCACCCTGCTTGGTGACTAGAGTTCAAAAAAGATATTCAAATTACATATGAGATCTCTGTGTGGGCCAAGTACAGTGTCGCCCACCTGTCACCCCAGCACTCAGAAGTCTGGGGCAGGAAGATCCAGGGTTCGGGACAAGCCTGGGCTACACCTCAAGACCTTGTCAAAGAGAAAAAGGAAGAAGCAGAAGAGGAGACGGAGGAGGAAGAAGAGAAAGAAAAGCAAAAAGAAGCAAGCTGGTTCAGGTGAAGGTACTTGCTGCCAAGCCTGATGACCTGAGTTCCGTCCCTGGGCCCCCCGGGGTGGAAGCAGAGAACTGACTCCCACAGGCTGTCCTCTGACATCCGTGTGTGTATACCTCCCTGATAACAATAAATAAACAGTGAGCTGCTGATTTTGTGGTCATGTAGCCTTTAGCAAGAGCTGACCAGTACAGAAGCTAGTTTAGTCTGCTGGCCATCTTTGCTTAAAAAAAAAAAAAAAAAAAAAAAAGGATTACAAGGAAGGAAAGAAAAACATCTCTATTTGGGCTGCCAGAGAAACTTCAGCAAGTCACTTCTCTCCAAGGAGAGACAGGAAAAAGGAGAGACAAGCAAGGGCACTTAGCGAGGGCCTTCCTTGCCCCCCGACTCACCAAGGACGCCGTGCATCATGACAGGCCCTTAATTTCACGTTTACCCTCCCTTGACAGCACCCCTCTAAACCCCACCACTTTCAGGGCAACACTAGATTAACTCTGCCCACTTGATGGCCTCGGATTGGAGTTTAGTTTTCTTACAACAGTGCATGAGTGTAACCAACACCACGCTTCCACCTCAGCTTTATTCGGACAGTAAACACATGGGGCTAACGTTCTAGTAGGAGCAGATGGACAACGAACAAATAGGAATGTGTCAGCAGTACTTGGAAACGATGGAGGAACACAAATCCCTCCCAGGAGAGGATGGCATGTTGAAAAACGCTCTGGGTATAACAGGGCTATCAGAGAAGGACTGCAGAGTAAGACAAGATCTGTCCATGTGTGCGTCAGATGTGGGGGCTCAAACCTTGGACTTCTTGTCTGCAAAGCACGTGTTCTACCACAGAATCACCACTCCCGGCCCTGAGCTTTGTTTTGAATAAAAGATCATTCTGGCTAAGAGGCAAGGTGGAACTAGGAAGGCAGGAGGCCATCTCAGAGTCCAGGTCTGAGAGGATGGTGTGTGTGTGTGGGACTGGGTGATGACAGTGACGGTGGTGGCACATCTACACTCAAAAGGTAGAGCAGACGAGTTGTCGATGGATTGGCCTTAGAACGTGAGAGCAAAGGCAAAAACCATCTTGTTCTTTCCAGGAGCGATGGCAGCTTGCATGCACCGTACACAATTAAACCCTGAGTCTAGGACCCGACAACTGAACACACAGAAGTCCAGCCCCCCCAAACTTCCTATACCAAAGTTCTAGTCTTTCTTGTGTGAGAAGTAGCAAGCATTAAAACAAAAGAACTAGTCCTAGCTCATGGTGTCTTCTCAGGCAAGTTATACAACCTGAGCCTCAGTTTCCTCTTTTAGGAAAATGAAATAGCAATAGTACCCCCATCCTGGAGTTGTAGATAGTGAGGGCAGTGTTCATAAATATTCCTGACACGGAGACAGAGAACTTAGAATTCCTATGTTAAACAAATTCCCAGTTACAACAAGCAGACCAGGGCTGGGGAAATGGCTTTGTCAGTAAAGTGCTTAATTTGCAAACACAAGAGCCTTAGTTTGTCTGCCCAGTGCCCGTATACAAGCCAGCACACCGGCATGTGTCTGTAATCCCAGACCCTTGGTAGCAGAGGAAGATACAGGAGAATTCCTGAAGCTCCTTGGTCCGCTAGCCTGGCCAAACTGAATTGATGAGCTCCGGGCCCAATGAGAGACTTGTCTCAAAAAGCAAGGCAAGCAAGCTAGGCATTAAAGGCTTACACGCCTTTAATGTCAATCACTAAGGAGGCAGAGACAGGTAGATTTCTGAGTTCTAAGCTGGCTAGGGCTATGTAGTGAGGCTTTGTCTGAAAAAAAGGGGGGGGGAATTAATAAATAATAAAGGAGAGCAGTCATGAAAGATACCTAAAGTCAACCTCTGACCTTCACACACACAGAAACAAAACCAACAAGCCAGGTGTGGTGGTGTAAGCCTTTACCCCTAGCACTCAGGAGTCAAAGACAGACAGGTCTGAGTTCAAGGCCAGCTTGGCCTACATAGAGTCCCAGGGTAGACAGCCAGGGCTCCATAGTGATACCCTGTTCAAAACCACAACAACAACAACAAACAAACAAAACTAAGCAGACCATGGAGTAAGTGTTATCTTTATTTGGATCACAAAGTATAAATATGAACCAGGTTTTGGAAATATAGGTTGTAACAGTTCATAAGTGGCACCAGAAACTTCCATGGGACCATAACAGCATTACAGTTTTGGTGAGACGGTATAGTCTTCTTACCCAAAACCTTCCCTACCACCAATCTTCTCTGTAGCAATTGATAGGTAATCAATTGCCAAGGATAGTCAACTCCCACATTCCCTGCTCCTCCTCGGCCTTTCTCGTTACCAATCCAATCCCTTCTCCAAAGTGTCCTCTGCTCTACCAACCTCGGCATGGAGTAGCACCACAGGAACAGCAGGAGTAAGGGAAATGTCTTGGCACAGGGAGACTGGGGAAGGCTGATGGCAGAAAAGGGGCCGGGCAGCTGCAGGCATGGACGCCCAATGCCTTCTGAGATTTGGCAGGGAGAGGATACAGGTAAACACCAGTATCTATTACACACGGACATCAGCACCTTGGGCTTTCAGAACACAGACAGTAGACAAAAATCACCTAGGCAAGACTGCGGGTCCAACTCACAGAGTGGCTCTGCCCACATCAATCCCTACGCTCTGACCACACGCAACTTCCCCCGGGTACTCTGCTTCTGGGGTCTCTTCTGAAATGTAGACAGACAATAAATTACTGCAGATGGGTTACAGAGCACGTGGGAGTGTGGCACTGAGCCAGAGGGTAGAGCTGCAAAGAGGTGGGCCAGGATATTGCCAAAGTAACAGTCTAGGCACTTGAAATATTATTGTTAGATTGTTAAAAACTAAATAAATTAACATACATAGAATAAAATAAATATATAATTTAAGAGGCATTTTACAAACAAATAACAAAAAAAAAAATAGTTGTTATTTTCTTTCCCCTGTGGATAGAAGTCCCAAAATTCAGAGTTCTTGGGCTTGTGGTACTTCACAGTTAGTTCATCAAATCCAGAGTGCTGGAGAGTCCAAACAGCAGATCCCTTGTGGTTACTTGAACACACAGCTTCTCAACTCTGTTGCTTTCTTCCAATCCATAAATCATTCTTCCTTCCTCCCTTTTTTTTTTTTCAGTCAAAAGTCCTGGAGCATATGGGATCTAGCTGGCACTTTAATCCAGAAGCTAAGTGTTTAAACAAACCGGTGGGCTCGGTGTGGAGGGGACCAGAAAGGCCTGGAGGGCTCTTCTGCTTCCACTGTGTTGTGATCTGGATCCCAGTGGGCATGTCTGTTTGGCACTTAGAGGCTCTGATACTTTTTCAGAGCAATTACGGGAGGCCCAGTCAGGGTAGCAACTGGGAATGAAGAAGTCTTCACGGCTGCTTGCGAAGTCTTTCCCTTCTGTAGAACTTGTAATGAACCACGGTCTCAGAGGTAGCCGTCCTCTGAAGGTTCCTGGAGCACAAGAGGGAGGCATTGAAAGCTGGGTCCAATCTTAGGAAAGGCAAAGAACATTCGGAAGGGGGCTAAGGGTACTGCAACCTTGAAATCTAACTGGAGATGCCTCACCAAGTCTCTGAAGACAATTTGGCATGGGAACTGACTCCACAGTAGTAACCTGACCCCTGCAATCCCTGGTAAAGGAATTCAGCACTCACTGAAACCTACCCAAGACCTACCCATGCCTTGGCCTCTCTCTGCTGCCTAGGGCAAAGAATGGACCATTACCTTGAGCACAGGTCCTTCTCAGTGGGAATTAGTCATGCCCAGCTTCACTTTCTCTTCATTTTCCACGTCATAACCTCCTCGCCTATGGTACCTGAGGAAGATAAAGGGTTGTGAGGAAATGACAAAGTGCAGGCCCCACAGCCAGTCCTTGCAAGGAACTCCCATGACTCTGGTTCTTGGAAAAGCCTGGAGGTTATGGCAACTCACTAGTCTTTGGCCCAAATCCAGCTTCCCCAAAGGGATTCCTGTCTCTACCAGCACAGTATTTACATCTGTATGTATATATATATATATGTTTTTAGACACAGCACCTAATAACCCAGACTGGTCTAGCATTTTCTATGTAGCCCAGGCTGGCCTCATAGCAGGTACACACCCGTCTTGCCTGACTTTATTTATTTTAATGTTATTTGGTCCTCAAAACATCCTTAGAGAATACAATCCCTGAAAGATTATCATCAATAATATTATCCATGCCTTTACTCCCGAACTACACAACAATGCCAGGAGAGAAATGTTTACGAGTATCTCCATGGGTGAGTCACACAGGCCACAGGGATAGGAAGTGAACCCCATGAGGAACAGAGGAACAGAACCTGAATGGCCTGGCAATAGGTACTCTGGGCTCTACACTGGCTCCATGCTGTGTCAGACAAAATAGTTTTTTGAAAATATACAGTAACAAGCCCAGGGGTAGGAGAAAAGGCTCTGTTCCTAAGTCCTAGGAGGAGAAAGAAGTGAGCAATTTGCAGAACCGGCCTTCAAAGGCTCCAAACACTCACCTAAACATGAGAAGTCCCACTATGACAAGTAGACAGACAGATGACAATACCACAGCCACCACAGCCAAGACGGTAGTGTGGTCATACGTATATAAGGGATTCTCCACCGGTAGGGTCAGCCCGTGACACCTCTCTCCATGGTAACCTGGGTGGCATCTAGAATAACCAGAAGAAGGTAGAATTAATGGTGGAAGCACCCTCCTCTCCCTTCCTCACCCCTACCCCAGAGTCTGCTTCAGGCAGGGAAACAGCGAGGGAGGAGCTGAAGGTCTCAGTTTAGATGTGTTCCACATGGGTCTAATCGATTTCATCTGTGCTAAGGTGTTTTGCTTCAGCCACCGAAGAGGACTTGAGCATCAGGCTGAAGGATGGAGCTGAGGGGGATTCAGTATCACTCCCTCTAGAGAGGCCCTTCTACATTCTGACCCAGAAATAAACCCAGCCTTGCCCATCAATGCATCCAGCATGCAGTCCCTCCCCACCGCTGCTCAGCCTATTAATAGTCCCTGTCCTGGTGCCAGGAATCGTTTTTTTCCCATTTCCTTCACTTAACTCCTAGCTCCCAACCTGGGAGCTAAACTCCAGCCTTTGGCCTCCGAATGCTGGGCTCTCGGGCCTCCTTCAGCACAGGACAAAACAAACAAACCGAGATAACATCTTCCTGCCCAGCCACCCCTTCAGTCAGTCAGAGCATGAAAGAATGTTAGAAACAATCCCTTGGCTCTTCTCCCTCAAGAAACAAATCACGTGACAACTGCCTCTTGGAACACAAAGCATTTCCTTGAAGCTCTTAGGAAGAAGGCTGCTGAAGAAACACATTCACATCCCTTCCTTTGATGTAGGTGGGAGCCCCATGCTACAGAAAGGTGGCAGGGCCTCCCAAGGCCATGCAGCAGGGCAGCAGCATGGGCACGGACTCTAACTTTGTCCACTCCACAACTGCTCATCCGCCAGCTGGGGCGGGGGGTAGGCTTGCCAGCTTGGGGACGTTAGTTAGGTCAGTAGCTGCTGACGGAGGCACCAAGAACCCAGTGGCCCTCTACTCTGAACCGCATCTTCTTTGGAGGAGGTTGGGCACCTGGAGCCTCAAGAGCCTGGACGTATCCCTCCTTCCCGACGGTAGGGGCCTGGGAGGCTGCAAGGAGCAGAGATGTCCGCTCTGGCAGTGGCAGAGGGGTGGGGCTGGGTAGCACTGCATCCCTGTCCCTGTTTAGGACTACCTGTACCTATTCCTGGGTACGGAGCAGCGTAAAGACAGGTCAGGTCCACAAAGGACGGAATGGCTACCTTACCTAGCCTCTTCAGCGTGTCTAACTCTTGAGTCAGAGTCGGGGGGAAAAATACATCCCTACCCTGCCAGGACCCAAAGGAAGCTCCTGGGAGTATCCCTGGAAAATCATGTGTGCACAGAGATAAGGTTAGGTCTCATAACTAGGAAGCAGCAAGGCCAAGATCAGAAGCCACTACAATCCTGTCCACCCCAAGCAATGAGGGTAATTGAAGAAAACCTATCTGGTAGGTCCTGACCATATTGTTGTTATTGTCTATTATACACAGCTTGAATTATAAATAGCAAGCAATAAAGGCCTACCATGACCAAGCATTCTGCATTAACTGCTTCGCAAGGATTATTTTATTTGAACTTTGGTGCTGGGGCCTGAACTCAGGGCCTTTGATTCATTGAACATTTAAGGTCAAACCACCTGTGAAGTAGAAGTTATCATCCCCATTTTGAAGCTGACAAAACCAAGGCTTAACCTCTGCTAAATAACATGCCAAAGCTACAGAGTTAGTGAGTAGCAGAGCCTGGATTTAACCAGCAGTCTGGATGAGTTCAGCAACTATACTATTCCAGGGGAGGGAAGCAGAAGCTGGATCTGCTCTGCACTTCCAACCCATCATCACTGAAACCCTACAGGTAGTTACTCAGATGATAGAAATAAAACTTGGCCTCAGAGTCCTGCAATTCAGTTACATAATCCCTCTAACACCTCTGTCCTGAGTCAAAAGGATAATAATGTAAATGTGCTAATATTACCCACTCAGCCCTCCCTTCAAAGCCTGGCTTCCCTAGGGAAGGAGGGGGGCTGAGTACATTCCACACATCCCCGGATGAAGGGCAAGATCATGTGTCTTGCCCCAAGCCAACACACACATCCATCAAACTAGGACACGATTCTCCTCCCCTTGTCTGTGACCCACTTCAGAACTTGCACGACAACAGGAGTTCCTTCTAGAGTCCAGAGATATTGTCTACACGATCTCATATATTTCCATATCTACTCCAGAGGTTGGAGGAAGCATCATTTGATAGAGGAGATCAGTCTAAATGAGTTCCAGACCGGTTCTGTTATTTCTAGCCAGGTGATCAGAGGTAATAAAAGCCTACCTCAGTGGAGCATCACTAAAAGCCCAGCCGCAATTGTGTGAGTTATTATACAATCAAACCCGAGGGTAAAGCCTGTATCTCAAGGAATGAGATGCTCAAGCCAGATGGGGTCAAGAGAAGGGAGCCTCTGCATGTGAGCAGTGTGGACAGTGAGGTTCCAGGCCTGTCTCTCTCCTAGTTCAGTCCTTCCCGATCCAACTACCCCTAGGTTTCCTCTAGCCACGGGAAACTTTGCAGCCAATTTCTGGGTCAGTAGCCAGTCAGAAGCCCAAGAAAATTGCTCTTTGAGGGAAACCTTTGGCGGGTGACACAAGGATTTTCCTGTTTGTGGTGGCTGTCAAAGGCTGATTTAGGAAGCCAGCTAGCCTCGAGTTCACCACAGCAGCCAGGACACACCCTCAACTGGCAGTTTCTGGGTCTAAAGTAGAGGAGAAGCCACAAAAAGGGACACAGATGTAGGTGCACGGATGTTACATTGCCCCAAACCAGGATCTCTGTGTCAGAGAACCCAGCCTGGGAAGTGTGCCTAGGAAGGTGACAGAAAGTCTTCTAGTCACTCACTATGCTCTTAGACTAGTAAAATCCTAACGAGGTTCTAGGACTACAGCTGCCCTCCATAAAATCCTGCTCAACGCTGTAAGGACAGGGATAGAGGAGGAAAGGCAACACCCAGTGTGGCCTGGGAGCATGAAAAGCATGCTGGGATAGGAGTGAGACCCTGTCCTCTCCCCATGAATTTATTTAGCTGTTGATCTCATGCAGATAACTTTCTACTCACTCTCTGTGGTTTCCTCATTTTTAAAGTAGAGAGAGAAAGTTCTGCGTTCCCTCCCAGCAGAGGGCTTTTGGAAATCCCAAAGACCATTTCTTTTCATCCCTTTAGACAGTGTACTGCACCAATAAATACTCATCATGCCTGCTGGGCTGAACTTGATTTAAATGTAAACAATTAAGATCTCAAAGAAATAATACCAATATGATTGTTATCACTATTCCCAGATAGTGATAATATCTTACGCACACTTCTTGGGTTCTCTGAGTTTAGGAGGTCAGGGGAGTCCTGCTTCTCGGCTGATCAATGAAAGAGCTGCCCATCCATTTGCTGAAACACCCTGAGCCAGTGTGGCTAGACAGACTCCTGGCTCTCGTCCATCCTGACTACGCTCAGAGTCACTTTCTCCTCCCTGAGCTAATGATGCCATTTTACACATTTAAGACAAACATTTCCTGTCCTGTCCCAGGACACCGGGAAGGAGCAGACAGAGATCCTTCCATTCTTAAACAAGTCTCTCCAACACACCAAGCTCCTGCCCAGGGTGTTACAGGAAGGGACACACTGACTGTGACAGTGGGAAGCAATGGGTCTGTCTGCCAACTGCTAGATACAGGACAGAGCTGCTGTGTATGATTAGACAGGACAAGGATGCTTTTAAAAGCCAAAGGACCCATGTCAGTCACAGGTGGAAAAGATGCCATACAGACAGATTCTTTTGACAGGATGGGAGGCAGTGTACACACAATAACATCCTGGACTGTCCAGGGTCTCCTAGGAAGGGTCATAGGGCTCTAAGAGTCTGCCTCTCTAGGGCAGAGAAGAGAGCAGATGTTTGTAGCCTGATGTGGGGTGTTGGCCTCAGGCATAGTGGTTACATTATACCTGCCAGTGAGCATATCACCACCGACATCTCTGAGGGGTCCACCGTCATCTCTGAGGGGTTGCCACGGTGACCACTTGCTGGGTTTGGCCTATGAAAGCATAATAAACCCACACTCCTGACAGGGACTAGTGATGCTGCAGGCTGAGTTAGGTTCCACTGTTAATCCTGCACAAAGAAAACTGTTCTCCAACCCCCTATTCCACGCAAGGTCAATATCCTCTATGCCTCCCATGTCCTTCTGTCCCTTGCCTGGGTGAAAAAGCAAAGAGGAGGAGTTTCAACTCCTTCCACATGATGGTTCCTCTCTGTACAGCCCTCCCTTCTGTGCCTCAGAATCAATCCACGGATGCTCACTCACACGCACGCGCGCACTTGAGCACACCTGCACAGCATGTGACTTCAGGCACCTTAACATCAGCTGCTCTCCTCCCGGAACCCACTCCGCCACGTTTCCCATCAGCGTTTCTTTCCAGAGAAGGGTCCAAGGCCAGAATAAAAGACCTCCTTCACCAGTGTCAGCCCTCCTAGATACATGCTCATTTATGGGTATGCAAGAGGAAATGTCCTGAAGGATTAAGGAGCGTCACAAACCCATGCCACAGGAAATTGCATCCTCTTTGGTGGTGGTGGTGGCGGTGGCGGGGGACTTCCGCTGACTAAAAATATGTCCCTTCCTTTGAACTTCCTCCCAGAGGTTGAAAAGAAACTGGGTGAAATTATGAATTCAAGGAACAGTGACAAAGAACATGTGGCTGAGAGTGTGAGAATGGATCCTTTCTGGGATGGGCCACTTACTTGCATGATGGAGCCCGGAAATCCTTCAGGTATTTACATTCCCCATGGATGCAGTAGTCCTTATATCTCCTAAGACACGGGTCTCTCTTCTTTCCTAATCCCTTGCCTTTCTTCTTTTTTTTCCCATTCTTTTCTTTGCTTGGCGTGGCCAGAGCTTGTGGTTTGGTGGAGAAAGCAACTGCAGGAAAAAAAAAAGGTACCCATATAGACTCTGTCCTTTGGAGAAAATATCTGCAGATCTCAGCCAGGCTGATCTCAAACTTCCCGTTCCACCCACCCCAGTGTCTAAGACATGGAATTCTAGGTGGGTGCCCCACAGCTGAGATGAGGATGCACACATTCTTTGACCCCCACCTGGAGTCAGAGGCCTGGGAAAGCTCTTCAAGAACTACCAGAAAGAGGAAGCTTTAGGAGGAAATAGAAGTTGATTGGGTTCCAAGGAAGAAGAGCCTCATTCTAAGAAAGCCAGAGAAACTACAGCCCACTGAGCAAAGCTACCAGCCTTGCCCTCGAGTTCTGCCCACTTTCTACCCCCATCTGTGACTCCCCTACGTCGATGGGATTCTATTTTAGCCTTCAGTCAGCCTCATTTCCTGATACCGTTCTCAGTGACCCACTTGCAGGAAGATAGTGTCACAGACAAAAATTGCTTTGGGAGAAAGAACTTGGCTGTTTTAGGGTGGGAAGCTTCTAAAATAAGAGTGTCTATAGCTTTAGGACCTCCTCTGGAGTACCCATTGGTATCAGGGAACATGTTTGGTGCAGAACCTAGCTCTGAAACAGCAAATGGGCTATCCCTGATTTTAAAGACCTTACTTTTTTGAGTTTGTACAAAGTATCTGCCCCACCCCATGCCCTTTAACAATGTATGCACTTTTTCAAATAGCCATTCAGATTTATCCTCAAACATCCTATTCACACCTGGAATAGGGAGGGGGTTACAATACATACAAGGAACTATCCAGAAGGAACTAGACTATGACATCTCCCCTCTTCTTTGCAGGCTGCAGATACTGGGGGGTGGGGGGTGGGGAGAACAACTTCACATCCACCTGGGACTGGCCATTAGCCCAGGAGTCTGATGCCAGCCTCTCCCATCCCTGAATGCAATAGTTTAAAAGGTGCTTACTGCCCATAGCTACAGCCTGTGTCTGGTGGAAAGGTGAAAATGATAGGTTAGACTAGGGACATGGAATCCTCAAGACAAATGAGACTTCAACAAGGCCAAGGCACTCTCAAGATGAAAACCGCAGGATCCCCAAAAGGCAGGGAGGGACCTGCCCCAGGGCCGTGCAGGATTGGGATTAGAACTGTGGTCTCTGGTCCTGTTCCTCCTGGCTTCTTCAGAGTTCAGAAGGTGATGCAGGCGGCCAGGGGAAGCAGGGGAGGACCAAAGTGATCAGAGAGAGAGAATAAGAAGATTGACAGGTTAGGCTCCTGCTGAGGAGAGGGAGCAGTGAGTCAGGTTGGCAGAGGTATGAGGAGCAGCCATGTGGGTGGGGGGGTGAGTCACTTCCCAGCCCAGCCCTACCCAGCCTAAGAGAGAGCCAGGAGAATCCAGACTGTTCAGAACATAGGTGACCCCAAGGGTCCACTGTAGAGAGGGAAAAGTGTGGGACCCCAGCCTCAGTTTGGGAGCAGACTCTTGATTTATGCAAAGCAGAGCAAGCACCTCAGGAAAGCCTTGGGTGAGAAGGGAGCAGGCAGGCTGAGCAGCAGGTGGGGCTGAACAGGTGTGCCTCCTTCCAACCAAATATAGTCATTCCGGGGTCATGGGGCTTAGTGCTGGCTCCACCTCTGAGAATCACTGCAAGTGGCTAGAGGCAGGGAGGCTATCAGGTTCTGGACTCTGCCCAGTCCCTGCGCTCAGCCACAGAGACAGGTTGCAGGATCACACGTAACTCTTTCCTCTAGGAGTCTCCTTAGGGCAGAAAGTCTACAAGTTTCAGATGCACAGCCTTTCAGAGCCTCCCAGAGACCCAGCACTCACCATCCATGGCCAGCTGCAGCGGCACTAACCTCATCTACCAGAGCCAAGCGTTCCTCACAGCCCCCGAAGAAGACTAACACTGCACTTTCGATGCTCCCATCTGTCATCTCTCTTTATATGTAATCACCACGCATACAAACATACACCAGATAGGACAGCAGCTCCCCCTCCCCCCCCTATGCAGATACTCTAGAGAAAGCCCTGGGCGGTGGTGGGGCACGTCCTTAATCCCAGCACTCGGGAGGCAGAGGCAGGCAGATCTCCGAGAGTCTGAGGTCAGCCTGGTCTACAGAGGGGTTCCAGGGCAGCCAGTGCTACACGAAGAAACCCTGTCTTACCCCCCGCCCAAAAAAAAACACAACTCTAGAGAAAGCATCTCAACCATGCTTTCCTATCATCTAGCTTACCTTAGAGGACAATCTGCCTCTTTCGGTTTGCTCCAAAGTATACAGAAGAACCCACACCAGGTGAGACCAAAGATAAGAATGATAGCATTATTTGCAGAACTCCCCCCCCCCCAACTACAATCAGGCCATCAGCTTTTCCTTGAAGTCTTCCATAAACATCCCCTTAGGGCATGGGGTAGGGGGCAACAGCATAAATCTCGGGCCTGTGTATTCTTCAGCTTCGAACAGCATCTAAGGTTAGGCATCCCCCTTACCCACCTCTGAAAAGGTTAGGATCTGTCTCTTCCAAGTCCTGGACTTCCTGAGTACGACCATCTCCCGTGGGTAGCAGCTGGTTTGTGGATCCAGTGGGAGAGTCAGGGTTTCTGGTTGCTGCCGCCAGACCTCTCCGAAGCCGCTCCAGACTCTCACCGGTCACCAACGCGGACAACACTGGGCAAGAGAGGAGGCCACATCACACCCATCGCCTAGACCCCACGCCACCACGCCATCGGGGTCCACGCCCGCCCTCTAGGGCGCACTGGCCCCACCAAGTGGCCCGCTCCGGGGGTGGGGGGGAGGCACCGCATCGATTTTCCCACGTGTCCCCTGCACGGCGCCCCCACCCCACCCCCGACCTCGGAGACATCAGCTGCCCTCTTACCTGCGGCCAGAAAGAGCTTCAGCACCACCGACGGCAGCAGCTTCATGGTCCCGAGGCTGGCGGAGACGGCGAGGCAGTGATCACTTTGAATGCAGCGGCCGCTGGACGCCTGCACCGGGGCCAGGCGGCGGAGGGCAGCGAGATTCCACCAGGCAAGGTCTGCTGCCCGTTTCTGGGTGCGATCCAGCCGAGGAGCTCTGCGGCCGCGGTACGTCTGTCTGTTCGGAGTCGGTCAGTGCGTCCGCCCAGCCCCTGCGCGTCCGTCAGGCCGACCAGCAGCGTGTGGCATGCAGCTCCCAGGGCCGACTGAGCGCTCGCTCGCAGCGCGCGGCCGGGAATAAGGCTCCTGGAAAGGAGTGGGAGCCCCGCCCCGCCCGGCGCCGCCCCCTCCCCTCCCCCTCCCGCGCCGGGAAGCCCGCCCGGGGAGGCGCCGGCAGCGCTGCCCGGGACTAGGAGGCAGTCGGTCGGGGAGGGAGGACCCGGAGGCGCTCACATTTTTGGGACCAGGCCAGAGCAACCGTGGCCGGAGTGTGGGTGTAGAGCGAATGACCAGCAGGTGGTGAAGACCGGATCCTACCTTTCCTCCAACGCCGGTCCCGCGGCAGCCTAGTGAAAGCTGAGCTGAGAGCTGTTCCAGGCCTGCGTCCCTCTGCATCTTTGACAAGTCCCCGTTCCATACTAGGTATCTGCACTCAGAAGCCTACCGACAGGGCAAGCAGTAAATAATATTTCGTTTATCGTTTAAAAATTAGATACACGAATGCCAGCTCGTCGTCTCCTGAGGGCAGAGTGACCAGACCTGAAGTTGCAGTCTTTTTTTTTTTTTTTTTTTTTTTTTTGTGATGCCAGTCCAGCAACAGCAAAGGAAGTTAGGAGTGGCCTCCACTGCTTCCCCCGGGGGACATAGTCTGCTTTAGGATTTCTGAGCTGTGCAACAGAATTCCCAGGCGTTTGCAATCAGAGAGACACAGAGTATGGGACAGGCCTCATACTCTTCCTTGGGTAGGTACTAAGAGCACCCTCTCAAACATGAGCTCTCCTCTCAAAGGACCCAACCAGCTAACCTAGATGAGTATGTGCAACCCATGCCAGACTGATGCTTCTCTTCCAGCTGGTGTATTTTTACGGGGAAGGGGTCGCCTGGAGTCAATGTCCTGACTCAAATAATGACTCCCTCAGTAAGTATTTCAGCTCCCGGGGACGTGCTGGGTAGGGAGTTTGACACAGGGCTGGGTTGGCATTCAGAGTCCTCAGTTGTGCCAGACAGAGCACTTGCCTGATTCAGCCATGTGTAGGGATAAAAACAGGCCTGCTATTTATACACTGTCTATCCCACTCTTTCCCCCCGCCCCACCCCCACACTGCAGGGGGTCAACCTGGCTCGCCCCCTCTTAATTCTCCTCCATACAGTCCCGGGCCTAGGTTCCCACAGTGCACCGCCGTGTCTACAGACTCAGACTGCTACTTACTGTGCGACCTTGGACAAGACAACTGATTTTTATATTTTTGGAAGGAGGCTAATTTGTTTTATTTTCTGTGTGTGGGTGTTTGCCTGCATATATGTCTGTGTACAACATGCCTGCCTGGTCCCCACAGAGGTCAGACGAGGGCATCAGATTCCCCAGGACTAGAGTTACAGGTGGTTGTGAACCCCTGTGTGGACATAGGGAATCAAACCTGGGTTCTCTGGAGGAACAGCCAGTGTTCTTAGCTGCTGGCCGTGTCTCTAGACCCTAAGATAATTGACTTACTAAGCCTCAGTTTCTGCATATCCCGAGTGGGAATAACAGCAGTAATATTAACGACATCTACTTTGCAGAGAGTTTTTTGAGGATCGAATGAGGGGACAAATATAAAGCAGAAAGTATAGTGATGGGTATAAGCTCTTGATAAATGTGACCTATTATTGCTGTTGTTATCACCGGACAGTCAACCTTGGCTACTCCTTTTCCTTAGAGCCCTTTTCCCGTCCTTCCCTGGACACCCAGTCTGGCCAGGTGTCAGGATCCATGTGCAGACAAATGGGTTTCGGACGGAAGCTAACTTGTCACCTATTTGGCCCAAAGCCACCTTGGGTGCTGGTCTGGGTACACAGTATCGGGCCTAGGACCTCAGAGATGGCCACCACCCCAGCCACACCTTCATCTGCACCAGCAGGTGTTTGATCACCTTCTTAAAAACCAAGCCATCTAGGGGTCAGGGTTCTCCCTAGGGCAGGGTGGAGGGAGATACTTCCTGACACATGACCAAATCACTCCCCCCCCCCACACCATTCACGCCCTGCTCTCCTGTCCTAGCCTGCTTCTTCCTTCCTCTGCTAGGTCCTTCCGCCTCACCCCCACGTCAGCCCAGCTTCACTGGGGCAACTCCAGGCTTTCATCACACAGGAGCCTCACCCTATCCAGGTCTGTGTGTCAGGTTTTACGAGGAAGGGCCTGGAGAAAAGAAGACAAAAAACCTGAACTGGACTTGGGGTAGTCACTTCCCTTCCCAGAACTGCACATAGTCTGGGACTAAAACACTGAGCAAAATAAAACAAAATGACAGGATGGGAATGCAACTCGGTGGCAGAGGGTTTGTCTAGCAGGTGCAAAGCCCTGGGTTTGATCTTCAGCTCCTCAAAAGTGCTCAGAAAAGAAAAACCGCCGCCGCCGCCGCCGCCGCCGCCGCCGCCGCCGCCGCCACCACCACCACCACCACCACCACCAAAAGCAAAACCCTGGGCACGGTGACACACACCTGTGATCCAGGCTCCTGTAAGATGGAGGGAAGAGGATCAGGAGTTCAAGGTCATCCTCCTCTATACATTGACTTTTAGTCCCATCTGGACTACATGAGGATTAGTCTCAAAACCAAAACATCTCAATCATAATTCGTCCTGGGTTAGCCTCATTAGCTGGCTTATTCCAGAAGCATTCACAAAACACTTTTCAGATGCCAGGGAGATCCTGAGATGGGAGTTCAAATGATGTGCTAGAAGAGGATGCGTTCTGGTGCCTGCACTCACACCTTAGGTTTGATGATGGATTAATAAAGCCTTATCTGAAAAGACGACGGGTAAACTGAGGCCTTGGGTGAGAAGAAGAAAACAGACATGTGATTATTGGTGACCGAACATTCCAAGTCTCATCAATAGTGCAAAGAACAGGATGTAGAAACAAGCTTGAAGCATTCAGAGAGGAGCATGCAGACCAGAAAGGTGGTGATGTGAAATCCCAGTGGGACAAAGGCTAGGGCAGAGAACGGAGGACATGAAGATGTCAGGGTAGACAGTGAGTTTTATTCCCCATCATTGTGAGAATCCAATGAGATGGGAATGGAAAAGCAGAGTTATGCAAGAATGTTCCATGTTCTTTTTGCCTCCTGCAGGTCCCTCTCCCTGCTTTGGTGGTCAAGGGCCAGAGTCTGATGGATAAGTCTGCTTTCTTGAACTCTCTCTATTGAGCAGGAGCAAACTGAGGCTTGGGGACTGACCAGCCTTTTGCTACTAATGAGTCAATAGGGAACTAATCTAGAGCAGAACCCATGGCATCCTGTTTCCCAGCCCAGGCTAGGTTCCCAGGCAGCTAGAAAGGCAGGCTCCCTGGGACTCTGAGTGCTGCTGACTCACTGCTAAAGCACTGAGTTCTTGATCTGAGTACCCTTGCATGCCAGCGTGGAGGAGCTGGGAGAAAAGGAGCCACAAGACACTGGAGTGGGGCGGCATGAGGGGTGCTCTTGGAGAGGGACCACTCGTGATCCCTTCCCCTCTGCGGCTGGTACATATATCTTGTAGGTGGGTTCCCTTAAACCTGACTGTGCATCAGAATCACCAGGGGCTATACTCAAGATGAAAAGGCCCAGCCAGCAGTGGTGGCGCACACCTTTAGTCCCAACACTTGGGAGGCAGAGACAGGTGGATCTGAGTTCGTGGCCAGCCTGGTCTACAGAGGGAGTTCCAAGACAGCCAGAGCTACACAGAAAAACCCTGTCTTGAAAAACAAAACGAAACAAAGAAGGCCTAGACTCAGGGTTGGGGATGTAGCTCATTGGACGAACACATGCCTAACACGTACAAGGCCCTGCACTATGAAAACAACCAACTAAACAAACAAAACAAACGAAAGGTTATGTAAAACCAGACATGGTGGTTCATACCTATCATCTCAGCACTTGAGACCAAGACAGCAATATCAAGATTGGAACTGGAACCTCTGAGGCAGGGGCAGAGGAAATTTGAGTAGAGAGACACATCCATGTGCTCAGTGCTTAGCTTGTGTTCTCTTATTGATCCTCCAACATCAGATATGCTAGAAACGTCACCCCCATTGGACAGGATTAGAGCTCAAAGATGTATGTAACAGCCTAAGGCCACCCAGCTAGAATTGCTATGGCTGACCAATGTGCAGCCCTCTCTTTGATTTGGGCTCCCAGCTTCAGTTTAACGGCATCCGAGCCGGTGGTGAGAAGGCAGCAGCTTCCCCTCTGCCCGTGCAGACAATACCATCGTCAGCTTTACCCAGGGAGTCCTGGGGTGTGCGGACCACAGTCACTGCCTAACTGGGCTCAAAGGTGGGTTGAATGAGAGCAACAGAGCAGCTGGTGAGGTGGATACACTCTTAGCAATCACACAACTCGGAGTTTGAATTGTGGTGCTGATTTTAGTGTCTTTTTGTTTTTTTCCAGCTTGTTTGACATTTATTTGTTTTAGCATTGGTTGTGAAATGCTTGCTGGAGCCAATCCTCTCCTTCTACCATGCGGGTCCCAGACCTCACACTCAGGCAGGCCACCGGGCTTGGCATCCAATGCCCTCACCTGCTGAACCATCTCTCCAGCCTCTTTGTTCAGCTTTCTAACCTGTAACAAGTTATAAGTGTCTTCTTATATGCAGTTTATACATCTCGAACTGAGGGCAATGATAGTATCACAGGGCTCTTGTGATGAATAAATCAGATCGTGTATATGAAATAGAATATGGCTGGGTGGTGGTGGCGGCGGCGGCGGCGGCAGCGGCGGCGGCACACGCCTTTAATCCCAGCACTCGGGAGGCAGAGCCAGGCGGATCTCTGTGAGTTCAAGGCCAGCCTGGGCTACCAAGTGAGTTCCAGGAAAGGCGCAAAGCTACACAGAGAAATCCTGTCTTGAAACCCCCCCCCCAAAAAAAAAATAAATAAATAAATAGAATATGGTGTCTGACATACAGAAGGTGGTAGATGGTTAATCACAGTTGTTATTATAAACAAGTTCTCTCTCTCTCTCTCTCCTTTTTTTTCTTCCCAAGTGGGGATTTGATATATATCTATGCACTCAACACGTCCTGTGCCTTGCTTCAAGCCTTAGATTCCTCACTTAAAAATATGAGTTTCCAGGCTGTGGTGGCTCACGCCTTTAATCCCAGAACTTGGAAGGCAGAGGCAGTCGAATCTCTGTGAGCTCGAGGCCAGCCTGGTCTACAAAGCAAGTTCCAAGACAACCAGGACTGTTATACAGATAAACCCTGTCTCCAAAAACCAAAATAAAAAAAAAGGAGAAAAAAATGAAATGAGGGGTTAAGCAATTGTGCGGTGTCTAGGGCCAGGGAGGTCCATCATGCTTTTTAATTTTTTTCCCTTGTCATGCTGCTGTCAAAAAGCTTGCTAAGACAGTTCTGCGATGATCTAGAGTAGCTAATCTAAAATACTCTTTATCCTGGGCCAACCTGCCTCGGAGATGAAGTGCCA